ATACACGCAATTTTTTGGTGATAATGAAATTGGAAAAAAAAGTGGTGAACAACACTCTGCCATTGCCCATGCCTAGTCACGTGGTAGGAGAGTTTTTTGTGATAATTTTTTTTTTAATTTTTGTTTCCCTGTATTTTTTTTCTTTTTTCCACATCAATCATCATATGCATTAACTTGTATAATTATTATTGGTATAAAATATGTATATAATAATTATTTTGAAACAAGAATTACAATTATCAAGTTCGAAAGCAAATATTATGAATTTATAATCACATTGATTATATGTAATTAATACATATTATCGAATTTTCCATTAACACATAATAATTTTTAAACAAAAAGTACATATGTACTTGTGTACGTCAATTATCGCAAAAATGTATTATGAATTAATCCGTTCGTTGAACATGTATTCAAATTAAATTTTTTTGTAAAAAAAAACATACGCGAGAGATAAAATATTTTTTGTTGTAATAAAAATTTGTAATTCATTACATCATGATGAATTTTATAAGTGCTACAATAATTAAGAACCCAATCACCACCAAATAACCATAAACACAAAATGGGCATGCATCTTCAAGGAGTGACGGTGTGTGATTAGCATTGTTCATCGGCACATGTGATGTGCTTGAGTAGTTGGACCCACAAGGGGTACGACGGGTAGTTTGTGAATTGGACTGTGAATTACAATATGTTTGAGCAGTTTCCCTCTCAGAAAAAGAGAAATTACTATCGTTTTCTCATTTAAAACTCCCTGGGTGTTTTATTCTTTCTGGGCACCGATAAAAATACCTACCACAATTTTTTTCTGTTTTAGCTATAAAACCGTACATTCGGCCACATCCGCATGAACAAAAGGGTGGGTGAGAGACCATGATGAATTTTATGTTTTTTGTTTTTTAATAATGATGAATTTATGTGAATTTTCTGTTTGTAGAACACACTCCTTTTATAGAACCCAAACAATTTTTTTTGTTGTTGCCCTCACTATTTTTCCTCCAATGACTTCCCGCCAATAACTTCCACTTTCCCTCCTTTACAACTACTTTTTGACAATTTCCCTTCTTTACAGCTACTTTTTGATCGAGCAGGCACATTTATGTGGAGACCGTCCCAGCAAATGCCCATTCCCTTTGCACATTTATGTGGAGACCTTCTTTACACGCTATTGCCAATACCCTGCTGCACATTGATAAACAAAAAAGCATGCTCTCTTGTTGTCTTCCATGATGTACATAGCATGGGACAAAAAAAAATGTGAACGTTATCACAACTACAAACGATACCACATGCATTGCCATACTTGAGCCAGTGTGGATAAGACCTATCATAAAAAAGCTTGTATGGTTTTTAAATGACATTTTTGTTTATTATGTATTAGTAAAATGTATTTTTTGTGGTAAATAATTTGTGTAATGTATTTTTTTATGTTAATTTTGTGTTTTTTATTTATTGATGTATTATAATTTCATTTTGTATTTCTTAATATTAAAAGAATACCATATGAATAAAAAATTTACACAACTCATTTTACTAATATTGCCTTACGTGAACACAAACTTGTCTAAATAAATGCTCGAAACTCCGAAATACTCGATAAATATCCCGCATGACAGCATGCCTAAACGATGTACACGTTCCAACTCGATTCCCGGTAAACCGAAGTCACACAAGACCTTACGTGGCCCACGGAAAAAATTGATTTAAGTACACCAAAAATAAATTAATTTATTATTTTTTCATTTTTAAGTACACGAAATTTTTTTATTGTTATTGTATAATGTGTATTAGTAAATGTATTTTTATGGTAATAAATATTCTGTGTAATGTTATTTTTTATGCTAAATAATTTTGTGCTTTATATTTATTGATGTATTATAATTTTATTTTGTATTTTTTTAATATTAAAATGATACCATATGAATAAAAATTTACACAACGCATTTTACTAATATACGCTTACGTGAACTAAAACTTCTGTAAATACATGCTCGGAACTCCAAAATACTCGATATTTGACCCGCATGACATCGTGTCCTAATGATCTATGCGTCCCAAGTCGATTCACGGTAAATCGAAGTCACAAGCGACCCTGCGGGGCCCACGTAAACGGCTTTATTTTTTTCAAAAAATTTACATAGATAATATTCATAAGTATAACAAACTATTTGAAAAAAAAATAATTTTAAGTGGTAATAAATAATTTGTATTAATTTTAAGTGAACTTCTACTTTTTTGTGAGGTGTGTCGTAAAATGTTAAAAATGAACTTGTATTTTTCAAGAAAAATATAAAAACATAAAACAATATAAAATACGCATTTTTGTAATGAATTTATTCATTTTTATTTTACTAACCAAATTTAATTAGGAAACAAGACAAGGCATACTTGTGTCGAAAGTCTCGCAACAATATTAAAACCCATAATAGTTGTCTTTAAAATTTGGAATACACCAGTAATAAATAAAACATAATAGCAACTACCGACGTCTGCCCCTTGATCGGCCCATAAGGCGGAAGCAATCAAATCGCGCAAACCAGACTGTTCACGCACACTAACATTAGAGGTATCTAAAGTTGTCATCAAAGGCATTGTATGGTCATCTTCATCTGGTTCTGGTATGTAATCTGGGTTTAGAATGGCCGGCGGTACGTTCTTGAACTTTTGGTGCTCAAAGATGAAACTGTGTACAACACAACATGCGATAACTATGTCTTTTTGGAACTCAGTCGTGTAGTTTGGCATTAGGCCTTTTATAATGGGGAACTTACCTTTCAATATTCCAAAGGTACGTTCAACCACATTACGGACAGTGGCATGACGTCTGTTAAAGAGCTCTCTCGCATTTTTAGGTGTTTGATTAGAGCGAATCCACTCCGGGAGATGGTACCTATCACCACGGTAAGGTGACAGGAATCCCGGGACATTGGCATAGGTTGAGTCGACCACATAATATTTTCCTAATATTCAAAGTAGTTGTGTTAGTGAACCAATGTAGTACTGTTATTTTCACTTCCCTATTAATATTTTTTTTCTTTTCTTATATACGAAAGGGGGAAGAAAAATAAACACATACCCTCTGGTGGCCACGGAAAAGTATTTGTGGGGTTTGTCAATGTTTCACCAAAAATATGAGCATCATTTGCACTGCCTTCCCATCCCGCTAAAACGTAAGTGAACTTGCAATCAAAGTCGCACGCGACCATAACGTTTTGGGACAAGTGACCTTTTCGGCATCTGTATTTCCCATGATCTTCTTCAGGAATCCAAGCCGGTATGATGGTTCCGTCGATGGCACCGATGCAATCCTGAGGTAAGAGAAAACATTTCATAAATTGTTGAGGTAATTCATGAAATACAATATGATTATGCGTTTTACCTTAAAGTATGGATGTAGATATCGATTCTTTCGTATCCATTGAGGAACACGAGTAAAATCCGGAGGACTTATGTATGTGGGAGCCAGTGTGCGAAGAGCAGTGATCATGATATGTACATGATTACTAATCGTCTCTGTAGATCGTCGAAATGTCTCCGCAGCATGTCGATGTCTTTGGTGTCCTTTTATCGTATGCAAGAACATTGCAACACTTTCTTGGATGCGGATCTTTTGTTGTATTGCATCACCATGACAACCCGTTTGTTTTATTTTTTTGCAAAGCAATTTGAAAACGTTCTTGTTCATACTCATTGCATCGTAGAATCTTCCATCGTGCCCCATGAGGAGTTCACTAATCCAGTCCTCCCCGTTGTACGTAGAATGCCTATACCGGATTCGTGTCATAGGTGGATTAAACTGAAATGTTTCATGAACATGCATAAGTTGTTGGCGTTGAAACTCCAACATATTAGCATATTGTTGCAAACGAGATAAATGAGACGGCTGAACAACAGCGTTGACATCTTCATCCATGTTGTCGTTTAATTGTCCACCGATATCATCTTCATCAATGTGCGACATCCTACAAATGTATAATTTATGGGAACTACTTTTCAAAATAAAATATTTTTTGAAAATGATAAAAACACAACATCAATGACCAATCTGAAATAACAAGTCGGATAATATGATGTAGAAACATAATCAATGTCAGCACAAATGCATATAAAAAAAAGAAAAAAAAACACACAAATTCATCAAGGTTCAAATTAGTAGTTCCACTGAAATTATGCAATAGTTTGCAGGGCAATAACATTAGCCCTAATTGCCTTCCTCATCCATCCACATATCTAGAAGGGCACGTCGGTTTTCTTCCAGCTCCATTCCAAGAAATGTGTAAAGGCTACATGGGTCATGAAACTTCCTCCAAGCAACCTTTCGAACCGGCACAGGAACACCAGGCAACGACTCTAGCACCTTTACAACATGTTGGAGGCTTATTTGATCAACTGGTGGACGCGCGTTTTGCTGGATTGTGCGGCTTGCTTCAGTAATAGAATTCATGGCATTGTGGAATTTGGAAGTGGACCCTTGACGGAGACGAGTGCACCTGTCACTGTTCGGGGTGTTCATTGGCTCATCACTTAACTCGTCGGAAAACAAGAAGTTGGTCGTCACCGCGGTATTGGTTCTACGACGCCTGCTTATTCCTTCGGGTGGCTGTGTAGATGCCCTTGCACCGCTACCAGTTGCTATGTTCCCGATAAAAATTGTGGTCAACTCACGGTAGTACACGTAATCCATCCTCTTCATCTCCTTGTCCTTTGGACGTACCTGTTTATGGAAAACCGTAGACCCATAAGGTTTATTTTTTTTAATCAAATGTAAACAAAGAAAGGCCCCCAAAAATTTTTTTGTAAGGCATCAGGATACAGAAAATTTATGCAAACAGCTCCATTTTTTTTAATCAAATGTAACAAAGAAAAAATGAAACCAAAAATATTTCTAAGGCACCAGGATAACCCTTAACTCCAGGATAACCACAGTTTCAATTTATGCAAATATTTTTTTTTCTTAATCAAATGTAACAAACAAAAGAAACCAAAAATATTTCTGTCAAGGCATCAGGTTAACCACAGTTTCAACTCAAGGTGAAAGTACAACTATTCACAACAAACAAAAATGGAAACATATGGAACAAATGAACTAACCGCGAACCACCGGCTCATCACCGCCCGTGAGCTTCTCAGTCTCTGAATTCTAGCCAAACCCAGTTGTATTATGCAGCATATTGTGGAACCGAGCCACTTCACTTTCAACCGATCATGCTTGCTCGTGATTTGTGTTATCTCGTAATGGTGTTCTGGACCACACGCTTTGTTCAATGCTTTTTGAATATCCATCCAATTGCTTGTTTTGAACTTCTCATTGATGCACTTCCCCAAGATGACTTCGTCCAACATCAACGATATTAACCGGGCCTCATTCTCCGGAGGCCACTTTGCTTCTCCTTCTTTAGGTTGCGTTAACCCATCTTCAGCCGACGCCGACATCTACAATGTTTCATCACACACAGCTCCGAGATAATAGGAAACATCTACTCACAACAACATGGAAACAAACATGAAGCAAACATAATAGGAGAAAAAAAAAGAAAACAAATAAACGCATCAACCCCATACAAATCGACTTGCACGAGACACCAACAGCGGGCCTTTAAGCACATAATTCAATCAATACGAAAGAATCATCATCTCAGCAGGCCCGACAGTGGAAAAGCATTAATGAAACTAATGGTCCCAACAACAAATTTGTTTAGCAACAATAATAACATGTGAATTGTAATTTATATAAGCACACCAAATGTGAATATTTTTTAGCAACAATAATAACCAGACAAGATACACAATTCGCAATAAATATGCAATCCCTAAGAACAAAAATTATGAATTTTAATTTATATAAGCACACCAAATCAGAATCCCTTGTCTACATTTTCGGGTAGTTCAATGTACTTGAAATCAGTTTTAAGAACTGTTATCATCCGACTCGGCAAAACACCATTAAGAGGTTTTAAGCATCTTGTTAAATGCGATTAACTGTTGAACCGACGTGATTCAGAACCACACCGATCTACACAAAAGAACCGGTCTGAACCACCAAGGACCGAAGTAACTAAGGTTCACCGAGGTCTACACAAACCGAGGTCATCACATCCTCAAGCAGGTGACAAGGCGCATACGCACACCCATCACACTCTACGAGATTTGTCATCATTCATGCGGGACCCACTGCTCCGAACCGCCCATCAAAAGCTACTTTATACGAAAAGTAGTACACAAATCCCAATGTATCCCCCCGAAAATTACTATAAGTAGTGAACCCATGACATTTGTACGGGGATCTCTCTCCGAACTCAAAAAACATTATTATGCAACACGCAAAAGCCCATCACGGCTCTTCACCTCGGTTCACCTCGGACCGGGGCCATTGTTGAGTTATTTCTACATGCTTTACGTCCAAATCATTCGTAATTATCATCTTAATCACTTGCTATATCGTTGTTAGAAATCACATAACAACAGTTTGGCGCTAGAAGGAGGGCCTCATAAGTGATTTGAGGTCAATCTCCGCTTTTCCAAGTGACGATTCACACCAGCTATATCCACCATGTCTCACTCAGATCCTCGTGGTCACACGTCACGAGACGGCCACAGTCGTAGCGCCGCGCAATCTGCCAGACGACAAGCCGTGGCCCCACATATACCGGATTATGTTGTGCTGTTTCAAAATCCGGAGTTCGCGCGTGGGTTTGCCGCTTTAATGGCCCAAACAATGTCGGGAACATCAACGACTGCTCCGGGACACTCCATCATTCCCACGACTCCCGCGAACCGGCAGAATCCACCAGCGCGACAAGACGGCGGAAGGACAATATCTCACGCTACATCTCAACCTCGTGATCAAATGTCACAACCGCCTCCGGAACGAAATACGCGTCGTACCGACGCCGGGCACAATCCTCCTGTACTTCCTCAAGAAGAAACTGCCGAAAGCCAGTCGGGTCATTCACGACGATCACCGCCTCACGCACAACGCCGAAATCCCTCCAATCCGGCGCAGACCGACCTTCGACAGCATATTGAACGAAATCGGGCTCGTCAAGAGTCATCCAAACTTGAAACACTGCGACGAAGAATAGCCGAGTTGGAAAGTCGGCAACGGGCACCTGAAGATCCGCCTCGGCGGGCCTCCACCTCGACACAAGTGTATTTGGAAGCCGATTCTCCCCTTACTCCGGAGCTCACTTCGGAACCAGTTCCTGGAAAAGTTAAGGTCCCCCATATCGGGTTATATGATGGAACATCTGACCCGGACTCGCACCTCGGTCATTATACTTCATGGATGGATCTGCATGGGGCCTCAGACGCACTTCAGTGTCGTATGTTTTCACTTACACTGGGGCCTCGGGCCCAAAAATGGTACCATTCTCTTCCTCCTCATTCAATTTGGAAGTGGCAACAACTGAGGTCGGCTTTCCGATCTCATTTTATCGGGGCTCAAGTATGCCTTATCCCAAAAGAGTCTCTTGCGAATATCACTCAAAAAGACGATGAAAGTGTCAAGGATTATATTGCCCGTTTCAATGACCGAGTTCAGAATATGGAACCTTGTCATCCTGAAACCTTGCTAGTCATGGCTATTGCTGGATTGAAACCGAATTCGATTTTCCGCTGGACGCTATGCCAAAATAAACCGAACACTTTTCAAGAATTTCTCGCTCGAGCCCAGCAGTACATTATAGCGGAAGAAGCCATGTCGGTTCCCGATTTTAACTTCAACCCAAAGTCTTCTAAAGCGGGAACCGACGAAAAAAAGAAGAATAAATTTTTCGACAAGCAAAGTAAAACTCAATTCAGGGGGCCTCCTCGAGGAGACCCCAATGATCCTGAAGTTCGAGCTGCCCGCAAACAATATGCTACCGACGTGAAGTCTGGTTATCAAACCGTGTATTCTGCAGGGGCAGCCACCATATATGAAGAAATCAAAGGGAAGGGCATTTTGCCAGATCCCAAGCCACTTCGAATGCCCGAAGAAAAACTAGACAAATCCCGATATTGTGATTACCATAAGTCACCAGGGCACAACACAGACGAGTGTCTGAGTTTGTTAGCCGCATTGTTGCGTTTGATTGGCCATCCGCAACTTAGAAAATTTTATCGTAATACTGATCCTCAGAGTCGAGGTCCTGGACGCCAGATCGAACCCTTTGATGATGAAGATGATGAGGAAGTCCGAGGTGCTATGACAAAACGCATCCGACAAGGAGATAAGGAAGTATTCATGTTCACCTCGGAGACGTCCGATTCTAACTCTGCTGGAACTTCCCGAGGACGTAAACGAGATAGGTCTCCTGAACCAATGCAGATCACCGTCCACCGGGTCAATACCAATAACCCCCGGAGTACATTGTCCCGTAGACAAGTCAAGGCATATGCCCGACAAGCCCACAACTCCGGCAAACAGGTTTATACTACCGATTTGAGAGATATTCTCAACAATCGGAATTGCCCCATAACCTTTAATATGGAGGATGCTAATCATTTCGCCCATCCTCATTCCGACTCACTTGTTATCACCGTCCCTATATGCGGGATTCCGGTTCATCGTGTCATGATGGACACTGGGGCCTATTCGAGTATTTTGATGTTAAGAGCTTTTGATAAAATGGGTCTTGATCTCGCCGAGATTCGACCCTGCAATGATCAAATACAAGGGTTTAACGGGAGCATCTCAAAGCCCATCGGCGAAATCACCTTACCTGTCAGATTTGGCACCTCGGAGAATGTCACCAAACTCGTCATGGAAACTTTTAAGGTTATGGATATTAATAATGAGTACAACGCCATCATCGACAGAACAACATTGTACAAACTTCGAGCTGCAGTTTCTATCTTTCACTATGCATTAAAGTTCCCGACAACCCGGGGAGAGGGAACCCACTTCGGAGATCAAAGAGAAGCTCGAGAACTTGTTACGTTTATCCCATCCAATGGAGTTCACTCAACTTCAATGGGTAA